AGCGCCTCTTGTCCCATACAATTGAAACAACACATTAGTATAACTTAATACTATAAAACGTGCTATTTAGATAGTGACTATTCACTTGTTCTCTGAATCCCAACACAAAATCAACTTAACTGGCGTGCCGTTAGTTCATCTGGACGCTCACAGGTGTGCCGAAAACATCGCACCACCCCCGCTATATATAGCCTCTAAACAGAGGCGCCTGCTGTTGTTTGCACACCATCGCATACCGTCTCTACACAGAGATGCCAATTGTTGTGTATCAGACGGATGATTAACAACTTGCAACTATGTTTCTTTCACTACGGCCACAAATTTTCGTTATTGAGTATCTCTTATTAGGAGCTCTGGATGAAAATGTTCGACTCCTCTTCAACTTTTCAAGATGACCATCCTCGAGATGAACTCATTGCGCACTCAGACAATCAGGATTACCACCCTATGGTGTTAGTTAAACCATTAGTGGAAGAACTACGTATAGAACTAGAAAGAATAACTACTAGTACTAATCGAATAACGCAACGATGTAAGCACAGAAACATTCATAAAAACATTCAATGCCGGTTTTTGATCCACAGATCATTCTCATGGACAGGTAATTGCTGTCAGAACCGCTAAAGTAAAACCCACTAATAGAAAGGCAAAGCAAACTTCGATAGTGTAGTGGACAACCTATGACCCCCGGAAAGGGTAAACACGGGTCCGAATCTGGTCTGTGGTCCGAGTTTTGCTCATATCGTAGTATTCTCGTGGTTGTATATCACATAATCCCACGCTATTTTAAAAAACAGGCAGCAAAAACAACTCAAAATATTCACAAAAACCTCTCTTTAACATGCGTCACATGGTTTTTTTCTCATGACCTCAGTGAAAGCTCAGGCATGACTCACAAGTTGCTCATAAACTTTTCCTTACCAATTTTTTACCCTGTAATTCGGTTTTTTCATGTGTTGTCTTATCACTGTCTTTTATATTTTTCTACACACCTCCCCCACACTTCTTTTTTTTTCCTATCATGTCAATCTGTACTTCATTATTTCCAGTGCAGGGAGCGGATAGCACAGTGGTAGTGATGCCGGTTATCACGAGCATAGTGGTTCGATTCCGCTCCGGGCCAACCAAGCCTCTTATCGCTCCGATGTCGGAAAATCGGCGCCGGACTTGTCCGGGAAAAAATTACTCTTTGCAATCCATTAGGAAACGCTCCAGCACGGCTATCTCAGGATTTCAGCGAGAATTGCTTGACCAGCATTCTACGACGTTCAAGATGAAATGAAAATCATCAAGCAGCAGCCGAAGCCACACGTAAAAGTTAGAAGACCTTCGTGGATATTAAATGCGGAAAAACGAATCGAATGTGAGAGCGGCTGGGATCTACACAGTAGACGAGAAGACGGATAATACAAAATAAAGAAAATATCCTCCCTGCAGTTTAGCAATATACGAACTTGAGGTCGATAAATCCTAGAAACCACTGAATACTGACGAAACCTAAGGTTCCCTGGAATTTACCTTCAGAAGTTATTCATACATATGCGACCCGGATCCACATATTGTGTGGATTCCAGCACTTTTTTCATTCGGTTCTTTTGTCACGTTGCTCCCGTCCACATGGGTGCCTTCGAATTTGCGCGAGAGTTCAGGTGCAGTATAGAGATTTTTCTTTTCTTATTATTGTCACTGCTTCCCAGTCGAATTGATTCTCCCTGAATCCCGTAATAGTTCTCCTAGAATGTTACTAGGTCTTCACCACAAAGTCGGACGGAACATTTGCAGGAGAAGTCTGGTACCAATTTTCCGACTCAGGAAAGGTTTGGCTGACCCAGAACAGGTATGACAAACTGAACAGATAGAGAATAGTGTCTTATACTATCGTTGGGTGAAGGCTTATTATGCAGAGAGATCCATTTCATCGGCATATGTGCGCGATCGGAAAGGATACTCCAAGCAATTCGACGACGATAATTAAAGAGACTAGAAGAGAATACGACTAAAGGCTCAAGGGGAGGAAATGTGGTAAAATAGTGTTCAAGGTGAACAAAAAAAGTGATATTATTACGATGTTCACCACGTACGGCGAGACCTTCGCCACCATCTCACCATGGTTCCACGCTGTAAAGTGCCACAACAAAATCGAACTATTTGTAAATATGGGGAATCAGATGGCGCCCTGTTTCACACTTGTCATTGCCTTCATCTCTTCAGTTTTGGTACCCACCGGTTTCCTTCTGGAGTCGCTCAGACATGTTTGGATAACATATGGAGAATCCATCGGAGAAGTGTGTATAAAATAAAGTTGGCCGAGTTGAAGAAGTAGTCGATTTTTAAAAGACAATGATACCTGGGGGAGACAATGATACCTTCATTCAGGGAGAGAAACGAGAGGCGTTAGCCCATGCATTGGCCGATGCAAGAAACTATAAAAATCTCCGACGTTCTACAACTGTTACAGCATGTACCAGAAAGTTTAGCATTCCATATACTTAAGACAAGAAGCACTTTTGGTCATTTTATTACCAGGGAGTGTACGCAGTGAATTTTATGAAATAAATGGCATTATATAGTGAAGTGGCAGAGATAACGTTCGACAATACCCGCAACAGATTTACCTGGAAAGTTCTCTGCTAAGGTGGTAACGGTGGGTGGTGAAGACAAAGGAACGCTTAAGAATGGCTATCTAAGGATTCTATGAAGAACCTACTAGCCCACCAATCAGTGACGTACAGGAGACCAAAAGCTTCAAGCACCAGCCGAACCCAAGTGTAAATCTGAGCACCATCATAGATGATGGATGCGAGACAGCGAATAAAAGAAGTACTGGTATCCGTACGATATGAGATTTCAGCTCATGTAAAATGAAATAAGGGTGTGGATAGTACAGTAGTAGTGGCGCCAGTCATCACAAGTACGGTGCCGGTTCGTTTCTACTCGGAGCTCACTATGCCTCACAACCCTCTGGTGCCGAGAAATTGGTACCGGACTTGTTCAGGAAAAAATCACACTGCATTCCCATTGGGAACGATTTACCTCGGCTATTTCAAGACTCCAGTGAGAATCGACTCGACCAGCACTCTACAACACGCAAGATGAAATGAAAATCCGTAAGCAGCAGCCGAAGCTACACGTAAAAGTTGGAAGTCCTGCGTGGATGAACCGAATCGAACACGAAAAGAGCTGGGATCTCCACAGTAGAAGTAAAGACAGGTTGTATAAAATAAAAGAAATAAGGCTAATAAAAAGGATAAATCTCTTGGCGTTGATTAATCCCTAAGGAATGCGCCATGCATTCGACTTCATTAAGCATCGTTTGGAGGTGATTCAATGCATATCTGGGCTTTACAATGACTTGCGGTGGCCTGCCAGTGTATCCGGGCAATGCTGCCATCCTCCCAGACAAGTCTGGTACCAGTCTACTGACGTCGGGGGATTGAGGGCTTATTGGGCCTGGGGCGCGGGGATCGATCCTATATGCGTATTGCGGGGCGCCTCCGGCCACTGAGCTATATGCGTCCCTATAAAATAAAATTTAAAAATGAAGGAAAGCGGATGTATGAAATCTTCTGGCCACGACTTTCATTCACATTGTCATCAGAAGGCGCCCACCTGTGCTGGTCACACTTCCAATCGATAGTGCCCACTCTGCATGGCTACACAGCTCACGAAGGGCAACTCGCCCCATTAAACAACCAGCTTGGCGCAAGTATTGGTACGATTGCAAGAAAAACAGATTTTTGCTGGCCATGAGGGTCACACTAACGTTGCAACGAAAGTATATGTTTAAGAAAAACAACTACTACTACAGAGTATACTCGTATGAGGGTAGAAGAGTAGAGCCAATCGGGTGTAAACGTAAAGAAGGATCGAGCTCGCACTGATGTCAGTGGAAGAGTTGCTGTACTTTCTCGCCATTATATAGATACTTTTCAAGGATAATAGGTGAATATGAAGTGTCACCATCGCATAAAACCCTCCTAAGAGTATAAATTACGGCCAGTTAGCAGAAACTCTATTAAAACCTCAAGCCAAGGCAGAATAATAAACATAGATAAACCTTAGTCATCGGTCCTCTACTGGACTGTTTGTCTTCTACCTGATCTATAGTTCTAGAAGTTTTCCCACAAAACTGCTCAAGTAACAATCAATACGTACCGAGGCGTTCTCCTCTTCCACAAAAGATTGATTTCAATCAATAAAGTAATCCGAATGATCTACTAAACTTCACACTGGGACCAACGAATCATTTCTGTAAGTAACGATGAACATCGCCATCCAGACAATTACGAATCACTCTAGGATGACGAAATTTGAAGAGACACCGTCACCGCCGACGGTTCTGGAACATTCGCGCCATTCTACGTCCTTTGAATTTGTCGACGTAAGCGGTAAAGAAACTATTTATGAACACTTTTCAGCGAAACTACGTAGTAAATACCACAGAAAGTATCCTCTAGAAGCTTCTAGAATCAAGAAATTCCAACCCTAGCCGTCACGCAACACTTCTTTGGCATCGTGCCGACAGCCGTAGTGAGATAACGCGCTCCTATGCGCATGGTTCTAGAACGTTCGGCGGGCAATCGCTATATAAATACCGCCTCCAGATCGTTCCTCGCTATTTCTTCTCGTGTTGTGAGGTGGGCTTGTCAAGTTATGTTCGTGCTGGTTTTTCTTTGTTTGTCTCAGGCTGTTTAAACTAGTAAGTGTTACCAAGTTTTCCATAAAGTTAGCTCAGTTCTCTAGTTTTGTCGCTGGGTCGTTACTGGTACATGGTCAGGTGCGCTTGTTCCAATTTCTCTTCGATAAGTTATTCCTTCACTTTCGCCTTATTACGAAGATCTAGCGCTCTTGTTCCTAGACTTTCATTCTGTTGGGGAAGATTTTCGTCAGTCTCCTTAATAATGGTTGCGTCTTTGTATCGTCGTGTTTACCACTCTATTTCGTTCATTGCTGCTTATACATATCGTGATCTTGGCCAAATTCTCTGTGTTTAAGTTATCATGACGAAGGCTAACGCAGTCGGAATCGATCTTGGCACGACGTACTCGTGCGTTGGTGTCTTTATGCATGGTAAGGTGGAAATCATCGCGAACGATCAAGGTGAGATGGTTCAGAAGTTTCTATCAAATAATGTGGGTAGTGCTTGTCTTTCTTTCTGTTTTCTATTAAGATGGAATTTCTAGGCAATCGTACGACACCATCCTATGTCGCGTTCACGGACACCGAACGTTTAATTGGAGATGCTGCAAAGAATCAGGTGGCGATGAATCCTCACAATACTGTGTTCGGTCAGTATTTCGGATAACTACGAGTTTTTAAACTTTATCTATGTTGCATGTTTAGACGCGAAGAGACTCATCGGTCGTAAGTTCGATGACCCCGCAGTCCAGGCTGATATGAAGCATTGGCCGTTCAAAGTTGTTGCAGCCGAAGGTTCCAAGCCCAAGGTACAAGTTGAGTACAAAGGAGAGATAAAAGTGTTTACACCAGAAGAAATATCGTCTATGGTTCTAACGAAGATGAAGGATACTGCCGAAGCCTTCCTGGGATCTACGGTGAAGGTAGGTTGATTTATTGAGTCACACATGGTGGTGTCATTGTGGGAGTTCTGATCTGTTTTAGGATGCCGTCATTACTGTACCCGCTTACTTTAATGACTCTCAGCGCCAAGCTACTAAGGATGCAGGGGCTATCGCGGGTCTTAATGTCCTTCGAATCATAAACGAGCCAACAGCTGCTGCTATCGCCTATGGTCTCGACAAGAAGGGTACAGGGGAGAGAAATGTTCTCATATTTGATCTTGGAGGGGGAACCTTTGACGTTTCCATCCTGACTATTGAAGATGGCATTTTCGAAGTGAAGTCTACTGCTGGAGACACGCATCTTGGAGGGGAGGACTTCGACAACCGCATGGTCAACCACTTTGTGGCAGAGTTCAAGCGAAAACACAAGAAAGACCTAAACACTAATCCGCGTGCGCTCAGACGTCTTCGTACTGCTTGCGAACGCGCAAAGCGTACTCTTTCATCGTCATCTCAGGCTTCCATTGAGATTGACTCACTCTTCGAAGGCATTGATTTCTACACAAACATTACCCGTGCCCGGTTTGAGGAGCTTTGTGCCGATCTCTTCCGTTCGACCATGGACCCAGTTGAGAAGTCTCTCAGAGATGCCAAAATGGACAAGAGTCAGGTGAACGACATTGTACTTGTTGGAGGCTCGACGCGTATTCCTAAAGTGCAGAAACTTCTGTCTGATCTGTTCTCTGGAAAGGAACTGAACAAGTCCATCAACCCAGATGAAGCTGTCGCTTATGGTGCTGCTGTGCAGGCCGCCATCCTTTCAGGCGATAAATCTGAAGCGGTCCAAGATCTTCTTCTTCTTGATGTCGCTCCACTCTCGCTTGGTATTGAGACTGCTGGAGGTGTTATGACCGCTTTGATTAAGAGGAACACCACAATCCCTACAAAGACAAGCCAGACGTTTACGACATACTCCGACAACCAACCCGGGGTATTGATCCAGGTCTTTGAAGGAGAACGAGCGATGACGAAAGACAATAACCTTCTTGGGAAGTTCGAGCTATCTGGAATCCCACCAGCTCCACGTGGAGTGCCACAGATTGAGGTTAGTGTTTTTTCTTAATAGAATTTTCTCGTTTATTGAGAGCCATCCGTACAATTGGATATTCTAGGTTACCTTCGATATTGACGCTAATGGTATCTTAAATGTTTCTGCGCAGGACAAATCAACTGGAAAACAGAATAAGATTACTATCACAAACGACAAAGGACGGTTGTCGAAGGTTGGTAGCACTAGAAATTATTAGGAATGGAATTTTGCGCGTTCAAAGTTAGGGGTGTGGTTTCTAATTCGTACGTTTATGAATTTTAGGATGAGATTGAGCGTATGGTTAATGAAGCTGAGAAATACAAAGCGGAGGATGAAGCACAGAAAGATCGTATTGGTGCGAAGAACTCTCTCGAGAGCTACGCTTTCAATATGAAGCAGACCCTCGATGATGAGAAGGTTTGTGATTTAACACGTCTTATAGTTTTTGTGTGGGTTGTTAGTTCCTTGTTTTCCCTGTTTTAGTTAAAGGACAAGATCTCAGCCGACGACCGTAAGAAAATTGAGACCAAGTGTGATGAAGTCATCAGGTGGCTTGACAGCAACCAGACCGCTGAGAAGGACGAGTTTGAACATCAGCAGAAAGAACTGGAAGCTGTCTGCAACCCCATCATCACCAAGATGTACCAAAGCGCAGGAGGTGCACCAGGTGGTATGCCGGGCGGCATGCCTGGAGGAATGCCCGGAGGAATGCCAGGAGGTGGTTCCGCTGGCGGGCCCACCATTGAGGAAGTTGACTGAGCCGTGTTCCGTAGTGATCTCCGAAATCTCGAGTCAAAAGTGTGGGGTGGGCTAGTTTGACGCTCTTGTTTATTTAGTTTTGTATCACTTTTGAATAATAAATATCTTTGTTGTTGTGTGTCACATATTATTCAAGGTGATATGTTGGTGATGTCAAGAGTTTTGTTTTCTGTATGGCTGCAGGATTTATAAGTTACGTACAACTGTGAATTGTGGAATTCGTAGTTTGCTTCTCACAAGAGTGCATGGAAATGACAGTAGTGTTGACGTTGGTTGTTCTGATTTGATTTTTTTTCTGTTCTGATTTGCGCAATAACGAAAGTAGGAAAGGTTCATTACATACGTTAAGAACTACATAGGCGAAGACAGTGAGGTCCTCTGTTCTCTCATAACATATCGTCGTCGACACTCATGATGTTCGTGGTTGAGTAGGTATAACCTGAACATGGTATTACTGCCTCGAGCTACAACGCATCGGTTGATGTCGGTTGCGTTTTGTGACTTCTCATTTCATCAAAGTGGTGCCGTAACAGTGTAACCCTAGGGAAGCTAACGAAAAAGAGTTGTGGACGTCAGCTTCATCTCAGAGTAGTGTCTGATGAGCCGTCCAAGAGTCATTTTTGGAATTTCGACACCTCGCTAGTCCATAATGGTATTTCAACTGTTTTTCAGAGGAGTGGTTGGGATGTACGGTGTCCCTGAGAACTCTTGGTAGTCATACTCCTTTTATTCCATTAGATCATTAAAGTTCGAAGTGAAATTAACGGGACATAAAGACTTAACCGAACCTAATGTGACCCAGCATGGAGTTTACGGCAAGCGGTGTGAACCTGTCGTCGTACATAAGTTGGTGGAAAAATTCGAAGAACCGAGCTTTCTGAACGGCATCAGGAGAATGGACTTCGATATTTAGCTGTAAGTTGGTTTGTAGTGCGGTTATTGTGGCTTTTTAAGTCGAGATTACATAACGATATGAATGCTATGAGGAACTACACGTATGTGGGAGCTGATGGTCTTCCGTCACCTGGCAAATTGCTATATCCGAGCTCTCCAGGTCTCCGCTTCTAAGGAAATACGGCAACATTTCGTATTCTGCCCATTCAATATCGATCATTAGTTGGTCGATGAGCTAAGGAAAACTAGGATTTAAATGATTATACTACTGAAACGTTTTAAAATCGAATAAATCAATACTATGGGCGAATGTGTAACCACTTTTTGCAAACACCGTTGAGTTTCGAACCTTTGCACAGCTTGTTATGTGATTGTGCTGAACAGGAATACCAATGAATGATCATATTTGACACAGTCATAGGTTCGGAAATCACGGAAATACTGGGAGGGGGGTTGCTGTAGCGCAGTGATTAGAGACGCTTTGGAGTACTCTCAGGGTCTTTGGTTCGACCGTGCACATAAGGCAAACGAAGCCCTCCATTTTACTGGAGTAGCTGAGGGATTGATTAATGTCGAACACTTAGACCTAATGTATGCTTTTGTTGAAAACTGAGAAATTAAATATATTGAAGTACATACCTTCCTTCTTATAAAATCCCTTAAGAACGTCGCTATGTCAATAGATGTCACTTGGCGAACGTGATAACCTCCTGTTTAAAATTCATTTAAGGTTTAGTTCAGTAATATTTTCAAATTCCAGTAATAAAGAGATTAAGAAGAAACTTCGTCGGAATAGAGATTAACTAGTGTGTTCAGACATAAGTCATTTAGTAGTGAATCTACAAGGCTCAAAGCTGCGTTTTTTCATTTGTTTAGCTTGTATAGAAAAACACATATAGTACCTTGTTCGAGTACTGTGGCGTTCACTGTACCGTTTTTTCCACTGACAGCGATATTATAAAACTGCCCGATCTGAAATTTTTAGACCTTGACACAACCGACATAGTGCATTGAGATCAATACGCACTTTCCGAAAACAACTGAAGATTTCGGCTTTGAGCATGCGCATCTTAGCTCGTAATCAACATTTTTAATTGCAATGAAAATAGTGGGAATTTATATGCTTTCGTTACCCCAGATGATCAACATCACCAATCATTATGATCAAGAGATTACTGAACGTATATTTGTCCCATAGGGTGGCTTGTTGCAGTCTTCATATGCACCATGTCAGTTTCTTTATAGCTCAAGACAAATGATATCGATTTGCCGACCCCGGAGAGATGGAAGACTTTGTGATCCCGGAACACGGTATTGAGCTACCGATCGACGCAATATGTATTGTAGAACACTTCTGACCACTTCGCTACAAGAGCCTGTGATGGTTCTTAGCCTAAGTAATGTATTAAATAACTTGGTTTTCTCACGAGTAGTCTGTCACACATCAAAATGTTTGCGAAAAAAAGTATTCAGTAGGGTTCGGAACTGTGCAAATGTAAGTGAAAAAAGCCATATTCTACACGAAGCTGTTCATTGGCTGAAAGAGGACTCATTTTCGAAATCTTGGGATTACTATGAAGTTGTATTACGCTACGCTTCGCTTTCTTACCACTCTTGTTTATTTTAAAACGTCTCAGCTTCTCAATTCTCAAAATTAATGAAATAGCGCGTCACCTTAGCCAACGTCTGTACACGTCCTCATACAACAAGTAAAATCATCTTTACCTCTCACCCATATTTTATTGCAGATTTCTTCATCATTTTATTGTACACTTCCAACAAAGTGTAGCTAGCAAAGAGAACTTCTCTTTTAATCTTTAGATTAACGAATGCAACCGTGCTAAACTACCAACGTAGCAGCAAGGTATACTTAGATACACTTGTATAGCCCAACTTCACTAGCTGTGCGGGTAGCAACATAACTCCCATTTTTTGGAGTTTTGCTAGTTTAGTCATTGCAGTGATACCCAAGGCCCACCTTTCACCCCAAGGCCAACGTTTGCCCCAGGTCGTTGCCACCACAAACAGTCACCGCCTTCGTGTATCAGATGAGGATTTGCCACCATGCTACTAGTTTGATACCAGAACGGTAGTAGATCCTGGTATTGATGGAAACGTCTGACTCCTTCTCAGCATGGGAAGCTCTGCAGGGGTGATGAATACTTTCGCTCTACATCGTAGCCCGAAACATCTACTGGGTTTCGAACAGGTGACTACTTTCTCGGGTGATGGCTCACTTGTTATCCACTGCACCGATTCTCTTGCATTGACTTTATCTCACACACAAAGCAATATTAAACCCAGTTAAGTTGGAGCTGCAGTCGAAACCACAATGTCTTTCTGACTTTTGTTCATTGCCTATTATATAAAAAAGTAATAGAGCGACCTTTTAACTTAATAGTCAGAAAGAAACTCAGCACTGAAAAAGATCCATTCCAACCCAGAGGCATGAAAGGCTCGGTGATCTCAAAAAACAGGATTGAACCAAGACCGATCCAGTATGTATTTTAGGCTGCCCTCTAACCACTACACATGTCCTTTGGGATTCGGTCTCGCCCCAAGGTCACTAGATCTTCCATCCATCCAGCGTTGCTGAATTAGTGCCAGGCTTGTCTGGAAGGATAAAAACATTGGTTTGATATGTTCGTATTTCAATCTATGTCGTTGTACAGGCCAAATGTCATTTCATCGTTGAGGTTGAGAGAACAGCGCATCTCTCAGAGATTGGTCACTACAGAGAGGATTTCCGACTGCTGGTGTTATAAGAAGCTTATCTGGGTGGTTTTCAAAAAAGTATCATAGCGCGTTATGTGTTAACGGACATTATACTGCGACCTCATGTGAAACGCTCATAGCCAATACTTTTGAGAAGCATGAAGACTATTCATGTCGCTTATGTGAGCGATTTGTGATAGTTGGTTTAGCCACCTGTACCACCTGTAGTTCCGTTGATTGTTGAGTGACTCGAGCGGGCGACAGTAAATTTTCCACTTTTCCCTGTAACGTGCAAGAGTAGCCCAGTGGGTTCTGCTCGCTCTAGGGATTCGTCGAGCATCATATCTTTCTTCAAGGCTCTTTGTGAAGAGCTCTGACCATCGGGTCGGTGGTCTTCCTGCAGTACGTTTGACATCCCGAGGAATCCAGTCACTAACGCCTCTTGTCCATCGGTTGTCATTCATATGCATTACGTATCCGACCCACCTTATCTTAGACTGTTTTGCGTACAGAACGATATCTTTGATTTTGATCGTTGACGCAGGTCGGAGCTTCCGATCCCATCCTTTACTTATGTGGAACGGGATACTCTTAGCATCGCCCTTTCGACTGCGCGTTCAATGACGCTGTGTGATCTTTCATCCTGCTTACGCAGCGACCAGGTTTCTGACGCATACGTTAGGGCAGGAAGTACCGTTGAGTCGAAAAGGTGGGCACGGAGTCGAGTGTTCTTTCTTCTCTTCACTACATCCTGGGTGCTTTTGAAAGCTCCCCAAACCGCTCGTTTTCTTCTGCCCAGCTCTGGAGCCAGGTCGTTGATCATAATGATTTACCGACCTAGATAAGATATAACTGGAGCATTCAGAGATATTCGTTTCGTTGAGCGTGAATGGAGCATGCGAAACCAATCCGTTCTTCATGAACATCGTTTTTGTGAGATTTAGTCGAAGACCAATCTTTCCATAGGTTTTATCAAAGTCGTCAAGCATACGTACCATTTGGCTAATGTTTGGTGTTATAAGGACGATGTCATCAGCAAAGCGAAGATGGTGTAACTACCGACCGTCGACTTTCACTCCCATATTATCCCATTCCAATGTTCGCATGACGTTCTGGAGGGTGGCGGTAAATAATTTTGGCGAGATCGTATCGCCTTGCCTAACTCCTCTTTTGACGTCAATGTTAATGTCGTTGTAGAATGGTGATATCTTGGTTGTGAAATTTTTGTACAGCTCAGAAAGAATCTTTATGTACTGAGTAAGGACTCCTTGACTATCAAGGGCTTCCAAGACTACATCTATCTCAACTGAATCAAAGGCCTTCTGCAAATCGATGAAAGTGAGACAGAGCGGTCTTTTGTACACTTGCGATACCTCAATGAGCCTGTTGCCGAGTGGATGTGGTCCATCATACTAAATCCTCTTCGAAACCCTGCTTGCTCATATGGCTGTCCTTCGTCTAGCGTTCTGTCAATCCTGTTTAGGGTGACTCGAGTGAAAAGTTTGTAGACAATAGAACGACAGACAATAAGTAGATTGGGCGATAGTTGCCGATATCGTGCAAGTCACCTTTCATGAACAATAATACGGTCTTGCTAGTCTTCCATTGAGTAGGGACCTTGCATTTAGACAGGTAATGTATGAAGAGCCGAGCCAGTGTGTTTACGAGGACTGGCGGAAGATTCTTCTGGTGTTCTGGTCTTATCCTGTCCGGACCTGGTGGCCTTCGATTTTCACCGAAGAAATGGCAAGCCGGATTTCGGAAGAGAGAACTGGTGGTGCAACATATCCATTCTTCTTTATTCCATATGACGGAAGGTGGACGTGGCTATGGAAGAGATCCGAGTAGTATTCATGAATGATTTTCTCCATTGCCTTTCTGGATGCTGTAACTGCGTAACTGTTTAGTCTGGGCGCAGGAGGGCAATCATTTTGTTTTCGTAATTGGTGGAGCTTCAGTGGGCTTTGCGATTTTGCGATGCTTTTCCCAGCCTCTGCAGCTTCGGCCATTGCTGCTGTTCTTCTCTCTCTAACATCTTCTTTTATCGCCTCTCTGCATTGTTCTGCAAGTTCGAACGTTAGTTGGCGGTTGCATGCAGCTCGTGCGAATCCACGCTGGCGTATCAGTTCGAGTGTTTCTGGGGACAGACGTCTCTTGGTGACTTTCGAACTCCGCCCTTTCATAGCTCTAGCGTGAAGATGTAGAATGAGCCGATCGTATTCTTCGTCAATGTTATCGACAACGGCATCTTCCCAACAGCCGTCCAATGAATTGAATAAATCCCAGTTTACGGTGGTTCTGGGGTTTCAGTTTTAGTATTTAGCAGCTTCTTCTCCTTTCCGCGAGAAATAGAATTTTGCACGAAGAAGTCGTTAGTCTGATTCCTTGTAGAATTCTGGGACAACGGCGACATCGGTTAGGCAAAACCTATTTACAATGATGTGGCCTATTTCGTTATGGTACTCTATACTGCGAGACTCCCACGTCGAGCGTAGAGGATAGGGCTTCTGGAATTGCGAGTTACCATGGATGGTCTTGGTCGTCGTGATAAACTCAGGAAGCAGCTCACCCTGTTCGTTCCACTGTAATCCCTGGGTCCCAATATGACGGTCTTCATACGTTCTTTTGGTCCAATCTTGACGTTGAAATCTCCAATGATGACCTTGAAGAATGTGTGGTCTTCTCTGTAGAACTTCTGCAACTCCATATAGAACGCTTCGACTTCTTCTTCGTCATAGTTTGATGTCGGAGCGTAAACGACGAAGATTGTCAAAGCCGAAATTGATCCACGTGTTCTTAATCGTAAACGTCCGATTCGGGTTGTAAGCTGTTCGAATGAATCGATGTTAATTGGCAAACTCGTGTTGACGAGAACGCCGACGCCACCGACTCCTCTACTGTCGCATGTTCCGAGGAACAGGTCTTTTCCGGTGTCATAGACAGCGTTGGAAGGTTGGCGTCTTCTCGTATCGGCCAGGCCGATGACGTCGTACCTTATCCTTCTTGCTTGCATGAGCAAGTCCTCTATCGAGGACTCAGTTGGAAGTGTATGTGCATTGTAGGTACAGATCGTCGCTATAGTTCGTTGAAATCCAGGCAGCTTCCATTGGCGATGAGATTTTAGCAGCCTCTCCGTACTCGTCATACCCAACGCTGCTAAATTAGGGGCTCTTTTGGGGTCAGAGGAATGAGGTCCGTTTTTTTTTTACTGCGTTTAGCATTTTTGACACTCACGTATAGCTTGCTGGGCTCTCTAGGTGTACTCACGGGTAGCTTGCCAGGCTCTCCCAGAGTGGACATGGAGCTTATTTGTTGGAGGCGACTCCTAACCGCCTCCCACATACTTCCCAGTCACTTGATTGCAGGCTTTTGGCCGAATTGACTCGTAGAATACAATCCGCATAAGCAAGAACGCACTCACACACGCATGCATGAATACGCCTAGCAAATACAGTTACAAAAGTTGGTTCAGTCAGTCCATAATTATATCTGTGAACTTTATCCTTTTATCCTTAATGTGGTGGATCCTTTGAGGTTAATGAAAAGTAATTTTATATTTTGGAAACTTTGTAGCTCATTCCTTAACAACAAATATTGCAAAAAATGGACGTGAAATGAAAGCACGAAGTTTCATTCAAAAATCGGTTTAAGCACCATCATTCACCATCGGCTCTTAAAGCAGCTCGGGAGTCACACCAGCTAATTCCACAAGGATCTCTTGCGAAATATAATACATAATTCCTCATGGTCATCCTTCAAGTTTATCAAAAGAAGTTGGTTAAGTGGAATAAAGCTTTCCTTTTAATGAAGCTTGAGGTTCTTTTCTTTAGACTTGTAGAATTGAATTTTTTTGCAGTACTAGGATGCATTTCTTGAATAAATAGATCATAAGTGTTTTAAAATAGAGAGTTGGTTTTCAGTCGCCTTGTACATTTCAGATTGGCTTTTGTTAAAACTCTCACCTTGTCAAACATTTCTCGATTGGGATCTTCGATTGGATCTGCACCAAAAAATTCACATTCTGGCATGTCCTTCTTCATTTTCGTCTCTGCTTTCACATCACGACCGATCCCAAGTGATACTATTGAGCAACTATTAGTGCCAGTAAATGCCTACATAAGAAGTCACATTTATAAATTGTTGAAAAGGATGTTAAGAAGTTTACAAAGACCAAACAATAGATAGACAGATAACCATTATCATAGAGCTTTGCACAATACAGTGGAAGATGTCGACATCCGTTTCTTCCATTTATGAAAAAAACAGCGCAAACCACACGTGAGTTTCAATCGCATGTCCATTCTGGCCGTTTTCTACCGTCACTTTGACACGCAGAAATAAAGACATTCTATAAAGCAGAGAAGAGCTTACATTTTGGCTTGGGATTGCATAGGCCTTGACATCATCACCATTGCGGTATCCGCTTAATCGTAGATATCGTCGCATGGTACATCGGTTGATAGTGATAGGTAGTTTGCTCCATAGCTAAGACAATGCAACATTTTATCAATAGAAATATTGTATTTTACCACGAAATAGGATAAAGGACAGATACCTGTAATGTACAGTTATCCATTTTGCATTACTTTATGTTGAGCCCAACGTGACACTAATTACTTTTAAACTAACCTCTTCAATCTTCATTCCATCAGTTCGTGATCTTAAGCAGTTTATGTTCTTGATGAACAAGTTTGAAGAGTCCTTTAAAGTATAAGTTTATGTTAAACCCTGTCCTGTCTTTGATAATTCTTACCCCTCTGGTGATCTGGCTTACTATCACAGTATATGAGATCATTAAGCCATAACATAAAAATAGTGTGCAGTTTGACAACAGTTGCCCATCGCCATTCAGTACAAAAACGTGGTCAGAAGCCGTTCTGCTAACAGCAACGATGCCATATGCAGCTTCGGAAACTGAAATACTTGAAGTAAGGGTGGTTGCGAAAACGAGATATAGAAAAATTCCAGTTAGCACTCTTAGATTTTGACAGAAAGCTTTTTTTATGGCAAAATTGAAGAGTGAAAGGTCACCCCTCAACTTTCCCACTTAGTGATGCACCATGTTTTCAACTTCATGAAGCAACACAGAGGTTACTGAATGAGGGTCTGGCCTATATGGTAACTTTTGATAGTTGGAAGATGTAGGGACCAATCGGAGAATACTTCAAGCAGATATAGCAATACCGTTACCGAAGATCAAACGAGTCATAGTGGGATAAACATTGCATCAGAAAGGTCAAGAGATCGCGTGAAGAGGCTTGACTCTACCTTACGTGCCGTGCTCGCTACTTGAATCGGACCCAAGTTTCTCAATATCTGAAGCCATTTCATAGGTAGCCTTGCTTACTGTTACATGTAGTTTACATAGAACTTAGAGATAAACTCCGTAACAAAGCTAATGTTGAAGCATTTACTAAAAATGAAGAACAAGAAGTAGAGGGATTACCACTACCGTCGCGTCCTCAAACATTCTTTGGAAAACAAGACCCCAACAATGAATTCAATATCTAACTTCGGATGTTTATGAGCGAAGCTTAAGGATTTTAGTCATAATTGCGCGGAGAGGTTTCGCTCCTACATCACATAGTTGCAAAAATGTGTTATGCGTGAAGTACGACGGATGACATGGTTAAAAAGTGAACCATCTGTTATTGACAAGCGTGGAATGTTTATAGTAATTCCCCACTAATTTGATGTTAAGATAACAAAAGAGCATTTTCAAGATGCTTACCTCTATCGCCCATTATCTGAAAACGAGTTCAAAAGGTGATACCAGTAATTGAAAAACGAGTGGGTCGAACTGGTAGAAGCAACTGGTTTGAAATCATAAGTTATCTTTCAACTCAAAGTTGACCAGCATGCCTCGTATCATACTTATCAAAACTCGTAAATTGCTATCCCATATCTACCGATCCGTCGTTATTTAAGGTTAGATCTATCATTAGCTGTGTAGGTGGGCCAATGGGTTAAATGAGATGGTTTTTAACCCTAACATTTACCAGATGTTAAAGCACATTCCAGCCTCTCATTCAAACACCCAGATGTTCCTAGATCACCAATGTAGCGCTTGTTCTACCATTGGGGACGTCATGAAGCCCTTCGAAGTTAGCGCCCTTTATAGAAACCTGTCGAATGACCCCGCTTTGCAAGCCATCGTTGAACTCATTTAAAAGCACGAAAGTTCAACAAACATGTAATGTTTAATGATATAGTTGTTGATGGTACTCTTAAAAGAATGCTTGGATTACACAATCTCCAGATGGTCCGGAAAGAGCTACGCTCAAATGAGAGGGTTGGCAATGGAACAACGACTGGCATTTATCTTTACCATTGCATTTATGTCTATGGTGAAAGCATCATAACCAATCTCCGGCCATTACTCCACTGTAGATATATAGATGTTCTTAAGCTGACGCGAGGTTGGTACAGATCTTCGTTGTCGTTGTCGTTGTCGTCGTTTTTGATGTTATTGAACGATGGCTGACGTTTCGGCGACTTCGCCTTCCTCAGAGCCTGGACGTACTTTATGTTAGAATACTTTTTATTATTCGGTGGAAAAGAAGGTTAAAGTATTAATAAAGATCAAACTTTCAAATAGACGCCATATTGAACAGAAAGGTCACTCACCGTGATGTTATGTGCGGGACTGGCCGACACGTAGTTTACGCGAGCAAGACACGCCTCGGGGTCAAAATATCATTTTGAAATAGGGCGCCAGGTCACGTGTGACAGTAAGGCATTCGTCCTCCCGGTTCATCTTTGGATTTTTGAAATTTATCCAAAACACCACAAGGGTTTTGCGCGTTGATGTTTTTGATTACTGCGCTCGGATCCGTACAGTCACTTCAAAATCATCGCCGTTGTGCTTTTGTGCCCTATGCGTACCTAGAGGGGTGTTTAAACGGATTTTAGCCTTTCCATCTAGATGTTCTTTTATGCGGACACAAAGTGGTCTACCCGTTTCCCCGATATATTCCTCGCCGCATGCATTACATGAGATCAAGTATATTATACCTAAACTCATGCAATCCCCGTCTCTCCCGTTAGGACAGATCATACAGTTTTCTGAGCTGCACAAACGATCATAGAGACGGAAACTGTTTAAATAAATAAAATGAATAAAATTTACAGGAGAAAAACCTACCGAGAACTGGCTTCCATTCTTAAACATCCAAATAAAGCTCTCAGTAAGTGGCTATTTAACAAAATGGTATCGCAAGCCAAGTAGTAAAAACATTCTAGTTCACAGCCTCTCCTCTCATCGTTCACACATGAAAAAATCACTTATCAAAAACATGTACCGTACGGCTAAAATTGTGTGCACAGGAGAAGAGGAAAGAAAGGAATCGCAAAACCTGGCACGAAAAATTGCCATTTCGAATGCCTACGAAGTAGAAGCCACTCGGGTTAGAGAAAAACGTGGAGGTAGTTTCCTAAAATAATGTTTCGGACGTAAGTAAGACCTCTTTTAAGCTACCCTTCATATCACATGAAGTGAGTTACGCCATTAAAAAGTGCTTAAGAAGAAGTGGTCTTGAAAATTATGTAACGATTATTGACATCCCACCCAATACCCTACGCCGCCAGTTAGTTCGAAACCGTCTCTATGATCGTTTGTGCAGCTCAGAAAACTGTATGATCTGTCCTAACGGGAGAGACGGGGATTGCATGAGTTTAGGTATAATATACTTGATCTCATGTAATGCATGCGGCGAGGAATATATCGGGGAAACGGGTAGACCACTTTGTGTCCGCATAAAAGAACATCGAGATGGGAAAGCTAAACTCCGTTTAAACACCCCTCTAGGTACGCATAGGGCACAAAAGAAAGAAAGAAAAGAAAAGAAAAAAAATGATTTTGAAGTGAATGTGCGGATCCGAGTGCAGGAATCAAAAACATCAACGCGCAAAACTCTTGAGGCGTTTTGGATAAATTTCAAAAATCCAAAGATGAACCGGAAGGACGAATGCCTCACTATCACGCGTGACCTGGCGCGCTATTTCAAAATGATATTTTGACCCCGGGGCGTGTCTTGCTCGCGTAAACTACGTGTCGGCCAGTCCCGCACATAACATCACGGTGAGTGACCTTTCTGTTCAATATGGCGTCTATTTGAAAGTTTGATCTTCATTAATACTTTAACCTTCTTTTCCACCGAATAATAAAAAGTATTCTAACATAAAGTACGTCCAGGCTCTGAGGAAGGCGAAGTCGCCGAAACGTCAGCCATCGTTCAATAACATCAAAAACAACGACAATGACAACGACAACGAAGATCTGTACCAACCTCGCGTCAGCTTAAGAAGATCAGTTTATAAGATCACATAAATAAATATATCAACTATTTATGCCGAGGTTCATAGAAAGTCGGTCTTTCGAGATATATAGATGATTGTGCCGTCATTTGCTCAAGGCGGGTGGAAATGGACAAACGTTTTAAGTTATTGAATGAACATTCGAGTGCATTAGGTCTACCCGGAAGAAACCATACTAATACACCAGGTAGTTCGCGACCACCTGTATGACCATCTACATACAACGGAAAATTGCGTAATATGCCCAAACGGAGGTCACGGTGGTCGCTCGAGTTTGGGTACAGTTCATTTGATGTCTTATATAGCGGAATACATTGGCGAAATGTGTAGACTACTCTGCGTTCGTATAGAAGAAGATCTAGTCAGTAAACTTAGGGCTAAACCACATACTCTACTAAGCGAGCACAGGACACGGTAGCATAACGGAGAAGATTTTGAACTAAAGCTCACTATCCACGCAGAGGAATCGAAAATTTCAGCGCACAGAACTGTAGAAGCATTCCTGATAATTTCTAAGAATGCGGAAATGAACCGCAGCGAGGAATCCCTCGCTATTACGCGTGACCTTCCACAATGTCTCAGAATGACAGGGAAGCACATGACCCATCTATGCGAATTCCGTGCGGTTGGTCTGCACGTGAAATACTCAGTGGAAATCTCATAGGTCGCAGTGAATGTGCGAAGAAACTGTTCTGTTTTCAATTCGATTTATGCCTTGGTTCTGTGTCTTTTGTAACTGCCACGACCGACTTTCTATTAACCT